TCGGGTTTTCCGAACACTGTGAGGGGGAATGATTCTAATTGGATGATTGTGGATAGATTGACTAAATCAACTCATTTCTTACTAATGAGGATTAATCGTTCTATGCTGAAGCTAGCTGAGATGTATATTGAGGAAATTGTGAAGTTGCATGGGATATCGTCGAGTATTGTATCAGATGGAGATCTGAGATTTACATCGAGATTCTGGAAGAGTTTGCAAGACGCTTTGGGTACCATGTTGAGATTGAGTTCTGCCTATCATCCGCAGACGGATGGACAAACAGAGAGAACTATCCAGTCTTTAGAGGATTTACTGACAGCTTGTGTGTTGGATCAAGGTGGATCGTGGGATAGTTATTTGTCGTTGATTGAGTTTACCTACAACAACAATTATCATTCTAGTATTGGAGTGGCACCGTATGAGGCATTGTATGGTAGGAGATGTAGGACTCCTTTGTGTTGGTATGAGTCAGGCGAGAGTGTTATGCTCGGACCTGAGATTGTTCACCAGACTACTGAAAAGATCAAGAGGATCCAAGAAAAGATGAAATTTTCGCAGAGTTGTCAGAAGAGTTACCATGACAAGAGGAGGAAAACACTTGAGTTCTAGGAGGGAGATCACGTGTTTTTTAGAGTTGCGTCGGTAAATGGTGTTGGCCGAGCTTTGAAGTCTCGAAAGCTCACACCTCGTTTTGTTGGCCCATATAAGATTTTGCAGAGGGTGGGAGAAGTAGCATATCGGATTGCTTTACCGTCACCGCCTGCGATTTTTCATGATGTGTTTCATGTGTCTCAGTTGAGGAAATACATTCTAGATCTTTCACATGTGATTAAGATGGATGATGTACAAGTGAGAGATGATTTAACTGTTGAGGCATTTCCAATACAGATTGATGAACGAGAAGTGAAACAACTGCGAGGTAAAGAGATTTTCTTGGTAAAGGTAGTTTGGGGAGGACCAGCTGGAGGGAGCATGACTTGGGAGCGTGAGGATCAGATGAGGGAGTCGTATCCGACTCTGTTTCCTTGAGGTAATTTTCGAGGGCGAAAATTCTTTTAAGTGGGGGAGAGTTGTAACACCCCAAATTTATTGGAATATTCATTTAATTTATTTAAATATGAATGTTCGTATTTTTGGTGATTTTCGGTGGTTTGTGTGAATATTGAGAATTATGGATTTTGAGTTATTTATTTAAATAATAGTATATAATATGAATATATTGGTATTATTATTAATTTAAATAAATATAAGTGAATTAAGGGGGAAATGGACATTTGAGGAGGAGTTAGTGAGGGTGAAATTGGAAAGCTCATTTTAAGATCCAAAGTTAGGTTTAACAAAAAGGAATTTTAGGGGGAATTAGGATTCATTCTTGTTAGACCGTGAAAAGAGAAGAAATAGAGGTCAGAGCTCTAAGGAAGAGGATTGAGACAAAACTTCGTGAGGTTTCCAAGAAATCAAAGGAGAAAGGTTTGGAATTGACAAATTAAGGTATGAGGAGTATTACCTTCAATTTATTCAATATATGATTCAATGTATTTAAAGCCGATTTAAAGATTTAGGAGCTTTTTGAGTTTGAGAAAAATTAGGCCTTCATAGCCAAATCTGTTTTTGAGGTTGTTTAAGTATGGGGAGTATTACCTTCATTGTTTTCAATATGTGATTCAATGTATTTAAAGCCGATTTAAGGGTTTAGGGATTTTGAGTATTGAATGGTTGTTCCCTTTCTGGTGAGTTTAATGAGTTTGAGGGATTTTAACTGATGGTCTGATAGGTTTGAGGTTGATTTGGGAGTAAGGGAAATTAGGCCTTCGTGGCCAAAATCTGATGTTGACGTTTTAACCGTATCTGGTAATTGATTATGAGAACTCTAATGAATATGGGAAAATTGTAAGGATCTTATGGGGATTGGAGGCGTAAATATGATACGGGATTGACCTAATAAGTTGTAGATTTTGTGCCTTTATCACCGTAATACCTTAGGAATGATTTAGGGATGTTTTTGGGGCATTGGAGAAGGAAATCGTAGGGACTTTTGGGCTGGTTTTACTACTGGCGCATAACAGCGTTTTGCTGTAATCGTGAGTTCGCACAGTGAACAATCCTTCGCACGGTGAACACTCGCCCCAGACTCGCATGACGAACTGTCCAGCGAACGTAGCAGAGTCTTGTGAATTGTGTTCTTGTGCAGTGCTGTCTTTATGCTTTGATGCTGTGATTTTCTGGATGAATTACCTTGAGTATGATTGTGATTCATATGTGATTAATACATGATTGTATGATGATTCCTATGAGTAATGATGATGAGTTATGATGTTTATTCAATGATTTTTTGATGATTTTATGATGACATGATTATTATGATGATTTTGATGAATGATGATGCACCTAATGAGTTTATTATGAGGATGATATTGACGTGTGCATCATGCATTCATATGCATTCTAGATTTCAGTCTAGTGTTTGATTCTTGTGGCTTCAGTCCCATTGTGCAGATGTGAAGTATTTTGTTGTGCTCCGATTCTTGTGTAGAATTGATCCTATTGATGGGGATCTATGAAGGATTGAGGCCCAGTGTCCATCAAATTTTGACGAATTGGTACCACATGCATGAGTCTTGTTGCATTTGCATTTATGTGACAATTTGGTGTAATTTATGATATTATGGCTTTTTGATGTTTCCTTGATGATTATGATGATGTTGAATATGAAAATGACGTTATTTTATATATTGATTCCTATATTGATTATTATGAATGATTTTACTCACCGTGCCTGTTTGAATGCTGCCTCCACGTGGGTAACGTGCAGATGACCAGGTTTAGTCGTGGATGTCGTCGAAGACTTTTTGGAGTTTTTGACTTTTGGTTGACTTAGAGGGTCTTGCTATGATAGTGTAATATCGGGTTGGGATCTTTCAGTTAAACCGTGTTTTATTGATTATTGTTATTTTGATTATGTTGTGGCGCAAGGAAAATTTTGGATTTTGCCTTTTTGAGTTTCGCTGCTTTTTGAGCAATTTTCGAGTAATTGTGGGAAAACCTGTTGTTTACGGTGCATTGACTTTTATTTGAGTTATTGAGAAATGTACGCCCTTTGAGTTGATTTTTATTGTGTTTAATATTTTACTCTAATAAATGTGATTGATTTGCCATTATATTTGTGGGGTAGAAAAGGGTATTACATAACTCAATCCTACAAAACCGACTTGAAAGAATTAAACCTACTTATGAATATATGGTCATGTTAAATATTGTCAAATGTGAAACTATTAACCGAAAATAATAAGATAAGAGAATAAAATAAAAACATTACTTCACATATCTCATTTATAGGAATCTTTTACATTTTTATGTATGTTAAAAAAATTGGTAGTGTAGAAATTTGTATAATCTATGTATGACTATTTGTAAATTACTCATTGAATTATAATGAATTCAGTGTTGGATTATTATATTTCAAAGAAAATTGACAGTATCCAATACACGAAAAACAATTCATTTAGGACATTTTGCCAAGGGCTTAAATTTACGAGAAAATTTTTTAGGCCTAAGAACATTTAACATAATCATATGGAAGAAGTAACTATTTGATTTGATAAAAAATCACGAAGAGCAGTTGAAGACATCGTGGTTGGTGTAGGTCATTTTTTTGAGAACCTTTAATGGATGGTGACATCTTTATTCATTAGAGTTAGGGAATTGAGTTTTTACTCAGAAGTAGAGGATGCCTCATGTGCTTTTCTAGCTTCTAGGATCCAATCTTAAATGTTACAAGATTATATATTAAGAGACAATTGAATATATGGTTTCAACTTTGATTTCAACGAAGTTTTTTTTATGGTTTTAAGATTTGCGATTTCAGATTTTGACTTTAGAAGTTTTACTAGCAAGGACCCTATCCCTCCTAAACCATGAGTTTTAGTGTGTACTCTTTTGAGTAAAAGTGTTTAGGCATATACGTAAAGTTTAATATGACCACAAGACAGAAAGCAATTTTTTGTTATTTTAAAATTTGCATATGCTCAAGATTTTCTCCTTGTTATTCCTATTGATGGATTATGTCAACATATATCATCGATAGAGTGCCGAAATATCCTTAGATGTTGCCTTATGATTCCTTTATTTCATATTGATGAGGTTTTTCCATTTTGTTGCAAGACGTTCTTGGATACATTTTAGAAACACGTGGTTCATTGTAAGGAGCTTTTAGACTTTAAATACCCACGTACATTTGTTAAGAATGACCTATTTGATATATTTCTTCAGACCAAAATATATGTGAAGAAAAATGCGCTTGTAAAATTTTTGGTTGGTCTATAAGAGGAGAGATCAACACTTAGGTCAGTAGATGTTCTACTGTACGCTTGTGTAAGAGAAAAACATACATATGTGGACTTGATTGAAATTTCCCCATTGTTGAGATTAAAAACTAAAAGACTAGACGTTTTACTATGGGACATAGACAATCCTCAAAGTCATTTCAAATAAAATAGTCAAATATGATAAAATGTATTTTTGCAATACGATTTATCTTCGAAACTTTTACTTTTCTTACACGAGAGATCGTGAATCTTTTAAAAAAAATTTAAAGGCTCATGTATTAAAATGTTGTGTCAAAAGATAAATGAAAATAGTTATTAATTTTAAAAATGTTTTTCTCAAAATAATTTGAATTATAAGTTTCAAAATTAGTACATTTAATTTTGTATAGGTTTTTTTATTGGCAATTTGCACTAGTTACTCAATTTCCTAGCAACACACAAGTAAGAGTAGTTAAACTTTCAATTGTCAAAAGAAATAGTATTAGTCAAATCCAATCTTTGTTTTTATACATAATACTATATCCATATAAATACAGATCTATACCTGTCATCCAACAGGTGAAATCTTTCGACGAAATTGATGTAAGCATAGTGTGGTTATTTAATTTTCATTAATTTCTTTATAGTTCTCGCTTTAACTATCTTTTGTAGATCAGAGACAAACAAAGATTCAAAATGCGCGTTATCAGTATATTTTTCTTTTCTCTCTTATTCACGTTGACATTGAAAGCTAGAGCAACAAACACAAATTCTTCATATCCATCAACATTCCAACCTTTTCATGTTCCTCAAACTCAAAAACATGATATCTTCATTAGCTTTCGTGGTACAGATATTCGCCACGGTTTTCTTGCCAATTTGGTTGAAGCTTTGTGTCAAAAGAAAATAACTTTCTTCATAGACAATAAGCTTATAAAAGGAGATGAAATAGCAGAATCCCTTGTTCAAGCAATTGAAATAGCTTCGATTTCTTTGGTTATATTCTCTGAAAACTATGCTTCTTCATCATGGTGTTTGGATGAGCTAGTCAAAATTGTGGAGTGTAGAGAGAAGAAAGGACAGGTTTTGTTGCCTGTTTTCTACAAGGTTGACCCCAGAATTGTGAGGCACCAAAATGGAAGTTATGGAAGTGATTTTGATGAACATGACATGAAATATAGTTCGAGCAAGGTACAACGCTGGAGATATGCTTTGAAGAAAGCAGCAGATGTCAATGGCTTTCATTCATCAAACTATTTGTAAGTTTTGTTTTAATTTCCAATATTAATTTCTTTTTTTAATTTTCGAATTTCCAAAATAAAAATTTATTTAAAAAATCTTCCATTTTTCTATCTAATTATGTTTTTCATGTGTTTGAATGAGCTATTCAGAAATTTTAAGTTTATATTTGAAGTTGTATGAGAAAACTTTCAAAATCAAAATCAATTTTAAACCTAAACCTAAAAAGAATATTCAACATAAATATATTTAATTTAATTAATTTATATCATTAGTTTCATAAATGAATTAAAATATTACAAATATAAAATATTTTTATTTAAAGATGATTTTAATAATAGTGGTTAAAAATAATTACTGTTGGCAAATATTTGCCAGAATGGTGAACAGTAATAGTCAAAGTGTTAAACGATTGTGATCAGTAATAGGGTTGTTTTTAAGTTATAGGCAATTTGAATAAAGAAAATGATCCGACCTGATCAGAAGGGGACTACTGACTTGCCACACCCCGTTGATATGCCGCCTGTTCACCGGTGTAAAGAGGGAGGAGGGGGGTGTACCTGCAAGACACTCCGATGCCAAAGTGAGAGAATGGACCAGAGTGAGAGCAAACACAGAAAGTAGGTTGAGAATTGAATACCTGACCCTCTTGTGAAAGAGGGTATTTATAGAGAGACCCCAGCGGAGGGTCAACGATCATTTGAATTGGGCTGGATGGCCAGGCCCAACCCAAGTGACTGATAGGGCTTACGTGATGTAGTGAAGACCAGGACGTGGTCTTCGCCCTAGTTCAACTGTCCCGTACTCTCCGAAAAGTGGGTTTGACCTACTCTTTCTGAAGTGGGCAGTTGGTTGGTGACGTGTCCCCGCGGAGGGGAGTACGTAGAGAACGTGTGAAGGACACGTTGTTCCTGCCCGACGGTGGTTGTGTTCTGCCCGTCGTGGCAATGTATGACCGACGGGAGCCTTGTGCTCGACATAGGTGACGAAAGTCCTTTTGGGCCTTTCCCCGAGTATCATTGGGCTGGGCCTTCCCGGTTAGGCCGGGGCCCAGGCCAAAACAGGAATCCCCCAAGTCGCAACTTCGAAGTGAAGGAGTGAGGACTTAAGGATGCCGCGCTGAGACAGGGAGCGTGCGCGGGGAAAGATTCGTCGTGCTGAGACGGGGAGAGTGTGCGGAGAAACATTCCGACGAACACTGATGTCGAGGAAGTGTCCCCGTCTGACGGCCTGCGCGGGGGAGACTGAGGGACGCGACTTTTTTCTTTCGCCACGTGTCAAGCGTTCAGTGGGCCAAGTGGGGCGACCACCCTAGGGTACTCGAGTGCCTAAGGACGCTTCGAGTCTCGTGCCGAGGGTATAAGTAGGCAGGTCCTTGCCCACTCATCATTTTCGCTTCTGCTTCCTTCCTTACGTGACGACTGATTTGTTTCGTGTCTGCTCGCCGTCACCACCGCAACAACCGCCGCGTATTCCGCTGTCACCTGTAATCAAGTAAATTTCCTTTCTTTGTCTTTTTTATGTTCCGCATTTTAGAGCTGGCGTCAGGACGTGTTGAACGCCCCGAGGAGGGAGGTGGATCTCCGCCACCATAGGCAGTGCTTTCTATATTTTTGATGAACGCAACAAGGATGTGCGAGGGGTAGTTTGAGCACCCTGGGGATAGATACTAGGGTTAGATGAATGCCCCGATGACGGATGATGGGTTTAGATGAGTATCCCGGGGATGCTCTGTGGGCTAGATGACTTTCCTGGGTACGTACGATAGGGTTTGGATGAATGCCCAAGGAGGACGAGGGACATAGGAAGAATCTCCCGAGGACGTCCGCCCGCATGGTCTTTACTATCGTCGTGGACGTTGTCCCTGTCGCCCTTTCACTTGTCTTGCGGTGGAAGGGTGAATTTGATCATGGTCATCCAATTCACCGTTACCTTCTGCTTTTCAGGTGTAATAACATCATGGGTCCTGGGGACTATGGACGTGGACGAAGAACCAGAAATTCCTACCGTCGAGGATAGGACCCGTCCGGTCGAGGAGTGGGTGGCCGAGGAGCCTCTGACCACGCCCTCGTACTTCGTAGACAACCAGACTGGTGTTTTCGCCACCGTCGAGGACAAGAGCGAGGACGAACCTAAAAATTGGCAGGCATACCGACCTCGGGAGCACCACCGCATCTGCTCGTCTTTTGGAAAGATGCATTTTCCTATATACGAATTATGTTTTCGGGAGGCCGGGCTCAGACTGCTGTTCACAAACTTCCAATTGGGGGTCTTTGACCGGTTGTGGTTAGCCCCCTCGCAGCTGCATCCCAACGCCATAGCTTTCGTCCGAGCGTTCGAGCTCGTTTGTAGATACCTGGAGATCGGGGCCACACTGCCGTTGTTTTTCCTCCTTTTTCATCTGCAGAAGAAGACGGTGTATGGCCGACACGGAGGGGTCCCGCTGAAACAGCCGAAAAAGCTCTTTCGGACGTACATGGATTCTGCCCGGGACTTCAAAGCCCACTTCTTCGTCGTCAGGATGATTTCCTTTGGAGCGTGCTCCTCGTTGTACCGGAAAGGGGAGCGAGTAGTAAACGGGCAGCGGGAGGAAGTCTTGGTACCGAAGGTGCCCTTGGAGTGGACCGAGGAGCATTTCTCGAGGGGCACCGACCGATACATAGTACGGGCGGGGACCTTAAACGAGGAGGACCTGGCCGGTTATCAGAAGATAGTTGCGTTCGTGGCCAACCTGCCCCCGTCGAACCTGGTGACACCCGATGGTAGGTATATCCGCGACAGTCAGGGGTGCATTTGTCAGAAGGCGAGGCTGATCAGCACGAAGGCTCTGCTCGAGTGTTCGTTGGAGGCTGAGGCCCTTAGTTACCTAGGTGGTGGCCGCCTTCTTCTTCTCTTGATTTTCTATTTTTTGTTTGTTTGCTGACTCGTCTTTTGGTTTTGCAGGAAGTATGTCGACTGTCGAGGAGAGAGTGAATAAGCTGGCCGCCTCGAGAGTCGTGGCTGCTACCGGGAAGACGCGGGTCGCCCAGGTGGTCGGGCAAGATATCGCCAATCAGGGAGGCAGGGGTTCTTCCTCGTCACCCCAGAGCAGCCAATCGCCCTCGTCTCAGGGGGCTTCAAAACAAACTAGGATTCAACGAACGGAGGGTGTCGTCGACTTGACGGACGGGTCTGCCGAGGAGGATTTTACGATCCCACCGTGCCATCAACATCCTGGCTTCTTCCATGGTGCGAGGTCGCCCAATGTTCTGTTCGGGGAGGCAAAGGTGGTCCTTAGTTCAAATCGAGCATCTCGCAGGTAGGTTTTGGCTGAGGATCTGGCTGCCATGATGCGGGTCTTCTCGACGGCGCTGGTCCTAAGTGATAAGAGTTGCTCCTCTGCCGAGCTATCCAAGCTGCAGGGCAACCTTGATTTTACGCAGTCGAGGCTGACGAAGGTGGCCGGCGAATTGTAGAAGAGTCAGGAGGACGCTACTGCGCAGCGCAAGAGGGGAGACAATGTCGAAGAGAAACTGAAGGCTGCGGAGGAGGTGCAAGCGCTGAAGGATCGTGTAGGGGAGCTAGAGAGTTCGATCTGGCCTACTGACGATGAGACCGCCGAGGACAAGCTGATGGTCACCTGAGCGGGTCTTCTCGGAAGGATCCGGGAGTTGGAAAATGATCGCTTGGAGGCAGTCAGGGTTGGGTTCTCTAGTGTTGTTGAACAACTTAAGGTGGTTAACCCCGACGTTAGCCTGGTCGTGGATGGGGTCGGGCCCTTCCACCAAATTGTTGATGGTCGAGTGGTTGACCTAAACTCTGAGGTTGTTGATAACTCCGCTCCCGTGGACGAGCCTGAGGTAGGGGACGATGAAGACATGTAGATTTGTTCCGGGCCTGCGTGCTTGTGGTTTACAAGCCTGCGTGCCACCTTTTGTTGTTTTTTCTGTCAAGTACTTCTGTTGGGTCTGCATGCCCGTTTCTTATTGTATCTTGACTACTGGGTTGGTGCCCGTGTTTTATACAATGATATTTTGTTAAGTGTGCGCTCGTTTTGTTTTTGCATGATGATATGCTTATTTTATTTCTGCACATTTGTATGCTCGAACTGTATGTATACTATGCTTTTTTGGTATGTCCGGGGGTAGTAGCTCGACGATACTTGTGTTCGGCAGTGTAGGGAACTGGCCGGGTGACCGGTGTGGTTACCTGGTCAGTAAAGGGGATGTTTATCCCTGCAGCGTGAACGTCCCATCGCGAGCTGGATGTTCTGCCGAGTCAGGTACAGGCTCGTTCGAGGGGTTCCCCGTCGAGCAGAGCCTTCTGCCTGCGCATACAAAGGTAAAGGCTTGCTATTTCGTTGGTCTCGAGGAGACGCGATGGTACCATGTCACGCTCCTGTGGTTGCGGTGTTTCTCGTCGCGGGCAGTGTTTAATTGTAGTATTTTTTTAGCTTCTCAGCGTTCCATGGTCGAGCTAGTGGATCCCCGTGTAGGTTTTCGAGGTAATATGCCCCGTGCCCTGTCTTGTCTCGAACACGATATGGGCCTTCCCAATTTGCAGCAAGTTTTCCTTCGTGTGGGTCCTTTTGGTTTCTTCGCAAGACTAGGTCGCTGACCTGGAACTCGCGTTTTAGGACTCTGCTGTCGTAGCGAAGTGCTATCTTTTGTTTTAGCCTAGCTTCACGGAGAGCCTCTCCTGACCGGATCTCCTCGACTAGATCGAGCTCTTCTCGGAGGGCTTCGTCGTTGGTTTCGATTTCGAGGGGCGCCTTAGTCCTTCTAGACGGCTCTCTGATCTCAACCGGGATCACTGCCTCGGTTCTATATGTAAGGCGGAACGGGGTTTCTCCTGTGGTCGAGTGAGGCGTTGTTCGATACGCCCACAACACGCTGTGGAGCTCTTAAACCCATCCTTTTTTCGCATCGCCGAGTCTTCGTTTTAATCCTCGGAGGATTTACTCTATTCGCGGATTCGGCTTGGCCGTTTGTTTGTGGATGGTCGACCGAGGTGAACTGGTGTTTGGTCCCGAGTTTGGTGATGAAGTCCCGAAAGTTTCTGTCGGTGAACTGTGTCCCGTTGTCGGCGACTATGACGAGCAAAATGCCGAACCTGGCGAGGATGTTCCTCTTGTAGAATCGGAGTATGTTGTGTGTCGTGATTTTGGCGAGGGCTTCGGCCTCGATCCACTTGGTGAAGTAGTCGACGCCCACTTTCAGGTACTTATTCTGATAGGAGCCTAAGGTGAACGGGCCGAGGATATCCATCCCCCACCAGGCGAACGACCAAGGGGAGGAGAGAGATTTGAGCTCGTTCGGCGGGGCGAGGTGCATGTCCCCGTGTCGTTGGCACCTGTCGCATTTCCTGACATGTTCTTTAGTTTCCTGAAAATGATCCGACCTGATCAGAAGGGGACCACTGACTTGTCACACGTCGTTGATCTGCCGCCTGTTCACCGGTGTAAAGAGGGAGGAGGGGGTGTACCTGCAAGACACTCTGATGCCAAAGTGAGAGAATGGACCATAATGAGAGCAAATACAGAAAGTAGGTTGAGAACTGAATACCTGACCCTATTGTGAAAGATGGTATTTATATAGAGACCTTAACGCAGGGCCAACGGTCATTTGAGTTGGGCTGGATGGCCAGGCCCAACCCAAGTGACAGTTAGGCCTTACGTGGCATAGTGAAGACCAGGACGTGGTCTTCGCCCTAGTTCAACTGTCCTGTGATCTCCGAAAAGTGGTTTTGACCTACTCTTTCGGAAGTGGGCAGTTGGTTGGTGACGTCTCCCCGCAGAGGGAAGCACGTGGAGAACGTGTGTAGGACACGTTGTTCCTGTCCGACGGTGGTTGTGCTCTGCCTGTCGTGGCAGTGTCTGGCCGACGGGAGCCTTGTGCTCGACATAGGTGACGAAAGTCTTTTTGGGCCTTTCCTCGAGTATCATTGGACTGGACCTTCCCAGTCAGACCGGGGCCCAGGCCAGAACATAAAATATTATTTTACAATAAAGATTTGAGTTTTTCTTTCTAATTTTTTTTTCACTATAAAAGAAATTATAAGGGTACGTCATATATAATGTTTTTTATATAATAATCAACTAAATACTTTTTTAAATAATGTTGTATAAAAAATTAGAGGAAAAATAAATAAAGGTATAAGAGATTGAAACATTAAAATGTTATTTTGGATTTATGGTAAAACTAAACGAAATAAGATTTGAAATTTACATATTAAAAAAAAATAGTAACTTGCAATAATACTTATAATAGAAAAATAATAAAAACTAGATTTAGGTGGTTAGAAATCATGTGAATTCTATAGTAAGGAGATTAAATTTGATAGAGGCTAGTCAAATTATTTGAGATAGAGAAAAATTTATAAAAAAATATAAAATAAATTTTTATAAAAGATGAGATTAATGATTCAGATAAAAATACGATTTTTATTAAAACGTTTGATTCTTTTGGCTCACTTCAACTATCCAAATAGAACCTAAGTGTAAATTTAGTTCAACTTTAAATTTTTGTTCTTAAACATCCCTTTAATGACCCCTTTAATGGTGATCTTTGTTTATGGGATGATGGGTCTTCTTAGGAGAACTTAGTGGGAGGGAGTTATGGTTTTTGTTGTTTTTCTTTTTTGACAAAATTGTTGTTCGTATTGTGCATTTATGTGTTCACAACACCTGATCTCTCACACACTTGAAGTGTAAGACTTACACTATTAAAAAATTTGGAATCAGAGACGAAACAAATCTATTTATAAAATGTTAAAAATATGTCATTGTGGATATTGGAGACGGAGTTAGAGACGGATCAATGTCTGTTGTAGAATTTATATCAGGCTGTTCAGAGACGGAAATTTTGTTCGGTATCTAAGTAGAGACGGATATATTTCGTTTAAAAAAATCTAATTCCGTCTCAAACATCTGATAGGAAGCTTTTCTAAATTCATCTCTATAGAGACAAATATAACTGTCTCTGAATCATATTATTCCGTCTCTACATAAAAAAAACTTGAATCTTTTCCATCTCAAATTCCGTCTTGGATAGAAGGTTATTATTTATTTTTCTTACTAATAAATACATTAAAACCTCTTGATAAGAATTTGATATAATTAATTAAAAATATCAAAAAATTCAAATTTTATTTATCACTAACTTAAAACTACATGTAGTTCTTACATATTATTAAATAAGATATTACACTAACTTAAAACTACATGTAGTTCTTACATATTATTAAATAAGATATTACACTTTTAACTTGTCGAAAATATAAAAAGCATACTTGATCTAACAAAAATAAAAAAAAAACTAAGACTAAAATTCATCTTAAATATTGCCATAAAAATTCATATAATTCCATGACATTCAACATTAACATGTCTAAAATATAAAAATACTGTATATTTGATCTAACAAAAATCCAAATAAAACTAAAATTAAAGTAACAAAAATCAAAGCTCATCGTCACTCGTCTCAACATTTTCATTATCACCTTCTCTTTTTTGTTGATGTGAAGAGTTTTGATTAGTAATATTATGCATAAAACTTCCAAACATTCGCTCCCAATGCTCTATCTTTTGTTTTATCAATTGTTATTTAAGATTCTTCTTCTCAAGCTCAGCCGTTAGTGTTTCAATCTTAGCCTGCGTAGCAGCAACTTTATCTGATGACACATAGTAGATATAAAAGAAGATGATTTTAAAGATTTTTTTGATAGTAGCAACTTGAAATCCTAATTCAAATATGCGCCTTTTCTTGTTAATTCCTCCACCAATCTTCATGTACACATCATTATCTGATTGCTGGGTACGCTACTACCCTCACCATTTTGTGAGTTTTTCTCAAACATTTAAGTTTGGTACATTTCCTAAAGAGGTGGCCAAAATTATGATCACAATTGCAGTTGAGGACGACAATTGAAACACATTAATTGTCTTTTTGTTTCTGTGTACATTGATCTTAGTATATAATATATATGTTATGCTAATTGTAAGTTTCTTTAATAATTTGATACATTTTCCTTTTTTTATTCCTTAGGAATGACGCAGAGCTTATTAAAGAAATAGTTAAAAATGTGTTGAAGAGGTTGGATCAAGTGCGTCAATTTAGCTCAAAACACCTTGTTGGGATTGGTAAACAAATTTCACAACTGGAATCATTGTTACAACTAGATTCACAAGATGTTCGTGTGATTGGAATATGGGGGATGAATGGTATAGGTAAAACCACTATTGCAGAGGTGATGTATGACACGCTATCTTCTGAGTATGAAGGTTCTTACTTCAAGGCTGAGGTAAGAAAAGAATGGAGAACACATGGACATTTGTATTTAAAGAAAGATCTTTATTCTACTTTACTTGGGGAACAAGATTTGAAAATTGATACGCAACATGGATTGCCCTATTTTGTCGAGAGGAGGCTTCGTCGTATGAAGGTTCTTGTTGTTCTTGATGCTGTCAATGATCCACAGCAACTAGAAATTTTGATCGGAAACCTTGATTGGTTTGGTAAAGGTAGTAGAATCATCGTAACAACCGATGACAAGCAAGTCCTTGCCAAGATGGTTGCTGGTAAGGATATATATGAGGTTAAGGCATTAAACTCTGATGACTCTCTTAGCCTTTTCAATTTGCATGCTTTTGAACAAAACCAAACATATGAAATGGAGTACTATGATTTGTCCAAGAAGATTGTCAGGTATGCCAATGGAATTCCACTTGTTCTTAGACTTTTTGGTCTACATCTTCATGGACAAGACAAAAGTATTTGGAAAAGCAAACTGAAGAAGCTTAAAAAAGCTCCGGTTAAAAAAGTTCATGATATCATTAAACTGAATTACAATGATCTAGATCGTCACGAGCAGATGATGCTTTTAGACATTGCGTGTTTTTTAGAAGGATTGCATCTCAAAGTTGACGACATAACTCTGTTGTTAAATGATCAGGGTGATTCAATGGGTTTTAAGTTAGAAAGACTGAAACGTAAAGCTCTTATAACTATTTCTCCAGATGATGTTGTATCCATGCACAACATTATACGAGAAACAGCTTGGGAAATTGTTCGCGAAGAATCCAATAATGATCCTGGACATCAAAGTCACTTACTTGATCCTTCTGACATTTATGAAGTACTTGAAAATAACAAGGTATCTTAATACCACATCCATTGCAGGAATCTTAAAACTTTTCTATAGCAATAGTAATACATTAGAGAGAATTATGATTTAAACTTTTTGTAGGAAAAATTATTTTCAATGATGTTTGAGAATCTTCTACTACTTTTTTGCTGCAGGGGAGTAAGGCTATTAGAAGCATAGCTACCGACTTGTCGATAATAAAGGATCTGAAGTTAAATCCCGAAGTGTTTTCTAAGATGAACAAACTACGATATCTGGATATTTATAGTAAAGGTGACTATTACACGTTTCGTCAATTTCCGCAGAAATTGTATCTTCCTCAAGGGCTTGAATCTTTGCCAAATGAACTCAAATACCTTCGCTGGGCATATTACCCTTTGGAGTCCTTACCATCCGAGTTTACTGCGGAGAATCTTGTTGTGTTAAACTTGCAGTGCAGCAAAGTGAAAAAACTTTGGCAGGAAGAGAAGGTAATAAATAATGCATGAGTAAATTTGATCAAATGAATGCGTTAACCTCTTTTAATACGAAATCTGTGTTGATATATGTTTGTAACTACTGCAGGATGTTGTGAATTTAAAGGAACTAATACTGACTTTATCTTCAAACCTGGTGGAGCTTCCAGACTTGTCGAGGGCTAAAAATCTTGCAACGGTTGATCTTCGCTCGTGTGTACAGCTGACTAGTATACATCCGTCTGTGTTTTCTCTCAACAAGCTTGAGAAATTGGATCTAGGTGGATGTTTTTCCCTCACAAGTCTCAAAAGCAACATCCATTTAAGTTCCCTTCGTTATCTATCCCTTGCCGGTTGCATTGCACTAGAGGAGTTCTCAGTAACCTCAAAGGAAATGGTATATTTAAATCTAGAATTCACAGGTATCAGAAAACTACCATCATCAATTGGACTCCAAAAGAAACTTAAAAAGTTGCTTCTTTCACACATTAACATTGAGAACTTGCCCAAAAGCATCAGGCATCTTTCTATGCTGAGACATCTTGAATTACGAAATTGTTGGAACCTTCAAAGTCTACCGAGGCTTCCGTTATCACTGGTAACTCTAGATGCCAGTGGTTGTGTATCATTGGAGAATGTAACTTTCCCTTCAACTTCTCTTCAAATATTAAAGGAAAACAAGACAAGGGTTGCCTTCTGGAATTGCTTGAAACTGGATCAACATTCTCTGAAAGAAATAGAATTGAATGCACAGATTAACATGATGAAACTTGCACACAAGCAAATATCTGCATCTAGTGATGATCATGATTATGATGCTCAAGGCACATATGTGTATCCAGGAAGCAGTGTTCCAAAATGGCTGGTGTATAGGACAAAAAGTGATTCCATGACTATTGATCTCTCTTTTGTGAATCATTTCTCTGATCAACTGGCCTTTATTTTTTGCTTCATTGTGCCACAAATTGAATCAAAGGGTTTCATTTTGAGATTTAATATTAGAGTTGATGGTGAAGATGAAAATATTCAAGTATACTTGGATAGACCTGGTCTTGGAATTAAGTCAAATCATGTGTATCTAATGTATGACCAAGGTTTGTCTCGCTATCTAAATAGTCTGATGAAATATCAGTCAAAGTTCAGAATTAAGGTTACGCTGGAATCACGAACACCGATATCAGGGCACATGCGTGCAATGTTGTTGAGAGGAATAGGGGTCAGCCCAATAAACAGCTCACAATATCTCAACTTCATTCAACACATGGAAATTATTGATGAAGGTACAACTTATTTACCACGTGGGGTAATTTATATGCTTTTCACAGTTTACATAGGGTTACTTATAAAGATAATTTTTCAATGGTTTTAGTGTGTTACTAAATTGAGTGTTGTAGTATTTCTATGCTTTTATAGTCAAATAATAGTTGTTAGTATGTTATTTTGGTAGCTAAAGTTTGAACCTTGTATTTTCTTCACAAGTTCATTTGTGTCCTATTTCAACCACCTGAGCTATGTTTTAGGGGTAGTGCCAAAATATAATTTGGTTATAATCTTTTGAAGGCATTATTGTCTCATTCATAAGTTGTGATGTAGGTGACATTGTCAGAGGGTATATATAATGAGAGCTTCTATGAAACTCTAATATATTAATGGATTTCAGTAGTTACTTTTAAATCAATTATTTAAGGTATTCCAATAAACAAAATTTATGGTAACTACAATGATTTTCTAAGAAATTTGAGAGTCTTGATTCTCTCCCTTCGAAGAATTCGAGAGCTTGATTTCTCCCTCCAAAATATAACCTCTTTCTGATTTTCAGCATGATCGGATTATGGTTCTATTTTCCTTCTTATTCTGCCTAAGTTTTGCCACATTCAGTTTTGGTTCCTAGTCATTTTTAAGGTCTAACACAGCGTTGTCCTGTGTGATGACAGTTTGAGAAATGGTAATGCTGTTTTCAGCCTCTTAACGTTGAGAATGATGTCTCATAGTTTCTTTATTCATGAAATATAAAATAATGATGACAAGCTTGATTTTTATAGACTGAAAATTGTTTTAACAAAGATATTAGAAAACTCATTCAGACAATTTGGCTTAATAGCTAGTCCAGATAGTAGCAAAACAGTTGGCTATTCCTTTGAGTCTCGGTTTTGTCGGAGGTAAGTGGAGGGGAGGGGAATGAAGAAAATATTTAATAGTTTATGTATATGGTTCAAATTTTAAGAGAAAGAAAAAAGATAGATGAAAAAGACTAAAATCTCTCTTGAATTATTTTTTCTCCTCTCCAATTTAAAGAGATTTGGAGGGGAGGAGAGATATTTCATTTAAATTATAATTATATTTATCCTTATTTATTTATTTAAATATTAATTTAATTTATTAAAATGTTAAAAGTTTTATTTTGAAAAAAATTTATTCTTTTTATATTTCTTGTATTTTTGTATGTCCATCTTATTATCATTATATGTATTTAATTTTTTTAAATTTATTTTTATACTTTAATATTATTTTTTAATTATCATAATTTTTTTATAATAATTTTTTTTAGATTTTATTGTATTTGATAATATTTTTAAATTATATATTATATAATCCTTATATTTTTATAAAATCTTTCACAATGTTTTCTGGTCGAATACTTATATTTAGTCAATGAATTTGTATTTGAATTATAAATGGTAAATATCATGAGTTTTATGATAAAATTTCTAGGATAAAAAAGTAAATTAGTTTTAAAATTTCTCCCCTCCCTTTGTGAACCAAACATATTTGTAAATAAAATTTCTCCCGTCCCCCTCTCCCTTTCATAATTTGAACCAAACATATATGTAATTAAAATTACTTCCATCCCTTCCCCTCACCTCCCCTCCCCTGGATAAAAATCTCTCCCTTCCCCTTCCCTCGATTGAACCAAACAGACCATATATAATTTTATTTTTTTATAAGCAAAATAACATTGCAACGAGGTACTAGGTGTAACACCCATTTTAATTATTTAGTCTTTTTGGTGTTATTTTATTTTGGGTGTGTCCTTATGTGGGGGTGTGTCTGAGAGTGTTGGTGGGTACCCTTAAGTTATGGGGATTAATTAATCACTATGGAGTTTAATATTAATATAATATGATTAATGGTGGTGATAATTTAATAATTAATATTATTATTATTATTATTATTATTATTATTATTATTATTATTATTATTATTATTATTATTATTAATATTAGTATTATTGAAATAAATAAAATAAGGATTTAGAAATATAAGAGGGGTTTTGGAGTAGAAAGGAGAAGGGAACATGATAAACAGTTTTAGAGCAAGGTTAAGGAGGAAGAACAAAGAGGAAGAGGAAGAAGGCTAAGGCTGTCAGATTCTTGGGGATTCTTCATCAATCGAAGCAATTAATCGAGGTAAGGGGGGAGAAACTGATTGGGATTGGTATTTTACATGAATTGGGTAGAGGGGATTCCTTAACCCCATAGGGATTTGATGAACAAGATGAGTATATTATTATGATTATGATTGTTACTGCTATTGATGAATTGGTGCATATATTGTTGTGATTTTGGTGAGTTTCTGCGTAACGTAGCAGAGTTGTGGTTTTGGTGGGGTTCTGCGTAACTTCTGGGGTTTTGGTAATGACCATGAGTTTTGGTTCTGGAGAGGAAGTTTGAGGAACAATTGATTAGAGTTGTGTTTAATAGTTGTAGTAATAATAGGATAGAAGATGGATGAAGGGTAATAGGCTGGAATTGAGCAAGGTAACATTTTTGGACAGTGAGGGTTTTGAGTATCGCAGACGCTCGCTAGCAGGTTCGCTAGGTGAGCAGGTTGCGAGCATTCGCTAGGGACTCGCTAGGCGAGCTGGGTAGCGAACATGTCCAGTAGCCACTGTCTGCCTTCGCTAGGCGAGCAGTTAGCGAATGTTCGCTAGGGCTTTGCTAAGCGAATGAGCCAGCGAGCATGACAGCAGATTATGATTTTTGTACTGTGTGGTTTGTTTTGTCGTTTCGTAGGACCCCTTCTGGTCGTGATGAGTATAGATATGGTGTTTAGTGGTGAAGAGTGTATACCTGATGTTAAAGAGGTGAAATTATGTAGTATTGACTTTAATTTGATTAACGTGATTGATTGGTGTATAATACATAACGTATATGATGTATGGTGATGTGATCAGGAGGATCGTGTGCACGTAGCGTACTTGAGTTATTTGTTGTGTATTTGGTGTCGTGCATATCATGATGTTTTGGTGGGATGAAATCGTTGCTCAGGAGGAGTGTATGCGATCATTCGTACTCCTTTGTGGAGAATGGTGGGGATAGATCATTGCCAAGGAGGGGTGTATGTGATCTATCCGGGGTTCGATTGAATGAACCAATGAGTCGGTACCGCATGCATGGTGTTGAGTTGCATATTTGCATTATTGGGTGTTGTATTTGATGATTGGACAGTAGGTCGTGATTGATGTTGGTGGGGTGATGATTTGTATATTTACTTCCTTTTATTCATGTATCTTATTACTGATAATTTTGATCATGTTTTCACACCCCCTTTGTTGTTGTTGTGGTCTGTTCTTCTTCGGAGGTACAGATAATCCAGGTACTTAGCTAGCTTGGATAGTGGTGTGCGGGTCGAGTCTTAGGATGCTCTGATACGTAGCACGAGACTTGGGTGTTTTATTTGTTTTACGTTAATTTTGTTTCATTCCTGTGACGTATCATTGTGGTGAACCTTGTTAATGAATACTTTGATATATTTTGGCGGATGGTCGCGAATGATGGATAATAATAATTTTCCGCTGCTTTATTTTGAAAATCATATAATGAAGAATTATGTTGAACTATTTGATGTGATATCTCACTTTTGGGGGAAAAACTCTGATGTTATTTTGAAATAATTGTATTTTATTTGAATTTTGGGAAGTGGGGTGTTACACTAGGGGTTCTAATTCATTTACAACCGACAATAGAGAAAGATTATCAGAATCTCAAAACTATAGAGAATCTCAAAGAAATTTGCACCAGTCATAATAATTACAAGTATTATTAGATTTAAGTCTCTTAAATAACCACCACTAAGAGATAAAAATCACTCTTTGCACCACCAGCTCCAGGAACTTTCCAGCACAATAAAATTGACAAGTTTTTTCCATGATATTTTCGATAATAAGTTTCTTTAAAATAATCAACTTATAGTTTCAAAATGTAAAGAATTCGTTTCCTTCAACTTCTGCATATTGCCAATTGTACTTGTTATTTAGACATTCATTTATCTCCGATCAATGTAAGAAACCTATTTTTTTTCTCATGGAAGTGAATACCAGCGGGATAAATAGAAATCGAATTTTCATATCAAAGAGGAATCTCAAATAAACCAGATTCGAGCTTTTTGAGAATCACTGAACAAATCAATAAAATTAAAGAGAAAGTGGAAATTTGAAACAAAATTCAAGAAATGAAAGTGCGTCTATTTGAAGAAGTGAAAACTCACTTATTAGAATTGGGTCATCGAAAATTTAAAGAGGTGGAATCGAAAACGAGAGCATGAACGGTTAGAATTGTGGGGTCACAAATATAACATTTAAGAAGTTAGTGTGATTATTTTAATTAGTCAAGACTTAAAGAGATCTAATTAATATAATATTAAGTTTGTGTTTAAAAGCATAAATGTCATGAAATGAGTTATGGTCTCCATTTGTAGAGCATTGAACATTGTGAGACTTTTTTTCTTTTTCTTGAGCAATACCTTTGTGAAACACACATAAAATACTCACCCAAAATCTTAAGGTGATAGTTTTATGGATTCTCTCATGCTCAAGTCTCCATATTTCTAATCAATGTGAGACTATTAACTATACTACTCACACTTGCTATACTCAACAAATTTAAGGAATCTTAAAGAATTTTACAAATCAGAGAATATCAAATACCCGCAACCTTAGACTATTTCAATGACAAATTCAGGTACGCTTCTACTTTTATTTTCTGATTGAATTCTGATATGACTTTAACGGATACAAGTTGATCGTATATCGACTCATAGGGATTATTTTAGAGTTGTATTCTTTATTTTTATATTAATAGAAATAATAAGGTTATGAACGAATCTGACAGTTGGTATCCGAGTTACTCATTCAGTTTCAATTTGAGTTTAGCTTTTTTTTATATTAGGATTTTAAAATTGGGATCTCTTTTAATCTTACAATTTGTGTAAAGTTTATGTTTCGGTGATAGTAATCTTGATTATAATTATCATATAAATTAGTGATTATGCATTTTTTAATAGGTTTTATATTTTTGGCTTAATTCATCTTTTTCTTCCTTAATTTAATTTATTGTTTCACTTTGCTCTCTCAGTTAAAAAACGTTACAC